CTGGTCCCGGACAGTCTGACTTGTAGACAGATAGTTCAGAGAACACACAGTGCACCTGAGTGTCTCCGTAACCATCAGGTAGTACCTGTCGATGTCCAGGACCTTCCGAGCTCTTTTGTGGACACCATAGCCTGTCAGGTTCTTGCCACAAGCTAGACAGAAAACCCTCACCTTCCACAGGTGGTAGGGCATCCACACCATCAACCGATGGGTGAAGAACCGGTCAGGTGTAGGTGTCTGGTGGTAAATGAGAGCTGGGACAGGCGGCTCGTACCACAGCTTCAAATCTGGCCGCAGCTTGCCAGCGTGAAAAATAGTGCTGGCAATCCACCTCTGGTCCTGCACAGGGATGGTCTTGGGCCATTCACCTGGCAGCCAGAAAGAAGCTGAGGCCCCAGCAGGGGCTGGCTGGACTCCTCCAGGCTCCTCCTGTATGGAAGACAATTTGTTATTGTATTAAAGGCTGCACTAATATACAGCATAGCCTGTCCAATAAATAGGTGCTGCTGCACTCACAGAGGATGGAGATGGCTGGGGGTCATCACAAAGGATGGAGGGGGAGAGGGGCTGGGAGGAGAAGGCCTAGCGGTTCCTTCAGAGGGTGGAGGAGATGGACTGGGGGTCTTCACAGAAGACAGAGAAGGGGTGGAGGTCCTCACAGAGGATAGAGGGGTGGCGGCAGTCCTCACAGAGGCCATAGATGGAGTCCTCACAGAGGAAGGAGGAGAGGGGCTGGGAAGAGAAAGAGAGGATGCAGAGGGTGGAGCAGAGGGGCCGGGGGTCCTCCGATTCACTAAGTTGGGTTTTAGCGAAGTCGACTTGGACCCGCCAAAGTGTGACTTAGTGAACTAAAAAGTTACATATAGCATTTTCATTTACTAATTATTATTATTTTGAACCTAAACATAAACATAATCATTTTGTATTTGTTTGATAGGACAGATTTATAAGTAGGCATTAATTAAAGAGAAAATATTCACCATAGACAAACTTAGAGGGGGCCTCAGGAATGAGGGTGGGGCAGAAGCAGCGGTTTCAGGAGCCGTATTGGAAGCAGCAGGAGGTACAGCAGAAGAGTGAGTGGCAGTGGCAGACTGCTAATACAACCACCGAAGGGCATAAAATATAGTGAAATGGCATAACAGCATTTTACCAGATATGTGATGCTACATCAAATGTCATTTTCAAATTGATTACCTTATTGGTGTGGAATCCACAATTGCAGGCCATGGAGCCTCCAAAGAGGGTGGTCTGCCCACGTGCCTGCATGGGGCATTTCTCAATCTAAAAAGATAAGAATCATTGTTTACTTTACTTACTTTTCTGAACCATTGTCAGTTGACCTGCATACTACATAATGAGAGGTAACTTTGCTTTACCTTCTGGTAGAGGTTATACCACTTCCGCTGCCTTGGGGCTGGTCTGTTGCCTTCTCCAGAAGGCCAAAACCCACAGCTGGCAAAAGCCCTCAACCTGGCCATCCACTCGCCATCTCCCATGGCCTTGTGGCTCTTTGGCTTAGTGCTCAGCTACACATAAAATGGAAAAAACATGGATTTCATTCATAATTCTTGTTTAAAATAAATAAATAAATAAACTTATGTAATGTTAGGTTAGCATTAGTGATTGTTAAAATGAGACACTCAAATACATGACCAATTAAGGGTGGGCAATAAGACCAAAATCTAACTTCAGTATTTGAGAAATTTCACAATATTTTTCTAAATTTTTTCACAACAACTATGTATCTCAATATAGTTATTTTTGTTATTTGATTTTTATTTAAATGAGAACAAAGAAGTAACTTACAAACAATAGGACTAATACATTAGTAACAAATACAGTAGAAAAGTCAGGGTTAAGCCTAGCGGTAGGCTTAGAGCAGGGGCGTCCAAACTAAGTCCCGGAGGGTCCTTGTCCTGCCGAGCTTAGACCCAAGCCCAATGAAACACACCTGAAGCAGCTAATCAAGGTCTCACCAGGCAGACTAGAAACTTCCAGGCAGGTCTGTTGGAGCTGGCTGGAGCGAAACTCTACAGGACAGTGGCCCTCCAGGACACAGTTTGGACACCCCTGGCTTAGAGTGTCCTTTGTTCGTTTTAGCCATGCCTGTTGCTGGGGAACACAGTTTGAACAAGCAGAGCAGGCCGATAACATGTACAATCAAAACCCGGAGTTAAAGTTCCGTTTCAATCTGTCGCAAGAGAGAGCGCTCACTGAAGGCACACTTTCCTAATTTCCAAAGGTAAAAAGTGAGCCATACAGCAAAAATTGGAGGACCCAACCTCCGACCGGAAACTGAAAATGCAAAGATGCTAGTACATATCGGAGTGCGCCAAATCGATTGACCTCTTGTCCAAAAGCCTGAAAGGCTACAAGTTCAGGCAACTCCACAAACGTTCCAGGCATGGCGTTCTGTCCCACAGTGTGATGTGATGTCATGTGATTCGAAAGTCATTTTCGTGGCCTTTTGTGCTGCTCCTAGAGGGATTTTTGTGCAGGACCTTCCTGGAACACAGGCCTCCGCCACCCAGAACAAAACATGAGCACTCCGTGTACACGCCACTGCAAACTTGAGCTGACACGAACCCTCAAACGCTCAAAAGGTGCTACGAATGCTGCTCCACGCATGCTCCACGCATGCGTCAGCGGACACGTGTCTCGTGTGCTAAATTCTGCGCTTGCGGACACATGGCAGAACGGCAGCGAAAAGCTTCCTTCGTCCCTGGGTGGGCTCAAACCACCAACCTTTCGGTTAACAGCCGAACTCGCTAGCCGATTGCGCCAAAGCTGGGAACAATAGTCTGTTAAGGAGGGGGGAAGAAATGGAAGGAGGAAGAAGCAAAAAAGAAGCGAAAAAAGAGAGAAAAAAGGAAAAAATGAGGAGAAAAGAGAAGAAACTGATGTTTATCCCTTTGTCCTCCAAAGTAATGTTTTTGGAAGTGTATGTTATTATTTTTAAAACATTTTTTTTTAATTTTCCTATTCATTTATATGGGCGAAAGGTTGATCACAAGGTTACCGGTTCGAATCCCACTGTTTGAAATTAAAGTTGTTACTTAGTGCTGTAAACCACTGTTTTTCATCAGTAAAAATCACATAAATGAT